CAACAAATTCATTATATTTATTAAACCCTGAACAACAATTTTCAAAATGATTTGTAAGATCTGATGATTGACCTTCCTAGTAAACCATATAATAAAAAAAAACTATATTATAAAAAGTAAGGTATAAATAAATATTCTTTCATGAACATCGACATAATTTGGGAATATTTCATACGCAAAAAAAGTGATACAGTAGTTACCAAACATGTTACGATCCGATAATTAAAACTTTTAATAAAAAATATTCGTATTGTAAATAAAGAAAAATATATATTTATCTTTTTTGATAGAATAGGTAAATACTAAAACTTTAACACTTGTGAACTTTTTTTAAAAAACGGGCATTCAAACTTAACATAGGAATATTATTTTACAATCACATGTGATATATAAGTATTGATCGACTAAATTTTAAATTAATCAATATTAATTTCAAACTTATCTCACAGAAATATCATATGAAAAAAATAACCAATTTCATGAACAAATACGGAAAAGTCAAAAAATATGAAACTTTTGACAGTTTTTATATTGTATCATTTTATTATTATTATTATTATTGAAATTTTTTATTTCATACTTTATAATTTAAAAATATTTACAAAACAATGTTGTAATGCGTGGATATTATGCGGTAAAAAAATCAAATAAAGAAATATCTACTAATTTTTGTGACAAATTTTTTTTTTTAGTTTCAAGTATAGAATTTTTAGCCATAGCTAAACTATAAATAAAAAAAATTATATATTTATAAAGTATGATCTATGACTAATAGGTTGTGAATGTGAAATTCTTTGATATATCCCTTAACTACGTTTGGATTAACATGCATTTTGATGAGTCAATCAATCAAATGCTAGGTGAAAAGTTAACTTAATAGAATTAACAATAAACGCGTTAGATATAAATTGTATTACATATATCGGGAATTTGAATTCGTCATATGCACATTGAATGGTGACCATATGACAGTATATGACGATATGCGACTACTATAACTGTATAATATTATAAGACTATCGCTATAAAACTATACGATAATTTAGCAGTCTAAAAAAAAAATAAAATAAAATAAAACGAAATAAAATAAAATGAAATAAAATAAAACGAAATAAAATAAAATGAAATAAAATGAAATAAAATAAAATGAAATAAAATGAAATAAAATAAAATAAAATGAAATAAAATGAAATAAAATAAAATAAAATAAAATAAAATAAAATAAAATAAAATAAAATGAAACCGAGAATTCAAAGAATCTCCACATCCTTTTTTGTAAGAAAGACCCAAATAAGGAAGTAAACCTGTTGGATTAATGATTTATTTTTTGTGTAAGTATGACAAAGTATCAGAGGTATCATATGTCACATAATTTAAATTTGTGATTATTATAAATTGCCACATTTTTTCGTTTTAGTCATGTTGTAGCAAATACGCCAAGGATCTATATTGGGGAGGTCGATACAGCATTTTTGGTTATGTAAATTTACGGGGCTTCTTAATGATAATGTACTGTCATGTCAAAATCTGAAAGAAACAAAACATTGGCGTGTGACATTTAAACATCTATTTTGAACAATCAAACTATTTTCAATTGTCCTCGATTTAGAAATGATTCAATGGGGTTGTTTTTTTGTGTGACTCTTAAAGAGGAAAATTGTGGGGTAGCGGTAGCCTTCAGATTCACCATCGCACACGTGAGAGGGTAATACAAAGTCAAAGGTTTGATGGCGTTATTTTGCCGTGGTCATGTACGTACGTAAGTGAACTTTATGCACGTGATTTTAAATGGAAACAATGATTAAATTATTTCGCTTTCAAGTGAAATTGTTTTTTCTTCTACTTGGATGGCGTAAACACAAGTATAAATAATATGTATATGGAAATGTGTATACAAGGATGTGGGGGGAATATTTCCGGGAACTACTTTTATTATTACTGTTTTATATAATGTCAATTATAATAAATGCGGAAAATAAATAGTAAAAAAGAATCAAATAATGTACTTGCATTCATTCTTTTGTCAATCAAAAATGACAAGAATGAAAGTGAAGTGATTACACAGTGTATATTATTGATTAGCACAAGAATGCTAAATAATGTTAAAAAATATGGGAACCGAAGTCCCAAAGTTCCAAAATTATACATAATTTAAAAGTTCCAAAATTATTCATAATTTAAAAGTTCATAATTTAAAAGTTCCAAAATTATTCATAATTTAAAAGGTTCGTAGAAATATGAAATAACCTCGTAAAGTTAAATGGTCTTATTTAAACTTTATTTAAACTAGCATTTAATGTATGCCAAAGGTTCTAATATCTAAGCCTAACTATTGCGCGGTTCCTAAAGAAGCGGACGATTATTATTAAAGTATAAAATGATCGAAATCTGTTGTGCGTGAGAGAAAAGACAAATGTTACGAAATTTGCCGAACACAATAAGTTCATGTCAGTTGGTCTGAGCGTCGTATTGTCCCGGGATTTTTAATCTTTGGTGTCAGTAAAAATGACATTTAAAAATTAGTGTCGATCAACTGTAAACTTATGTAAATAAAACAGCATAATCGAGACAATGAGTTAAAAAACACAAGGGATACCCATTAATCTCTTTGTAATAAGCCCATGTACCTATATATTATATGCTAGTTCTGTAGTTCAGTAGTTGTCCAATTACCATGTTTGTTTGTTTGTTATGTTTCCACCGCAGTAAAAAAATACCGTTTTAGATTCAAAGTGAACTACCTTAATTTATCCGCTTACCGTTACTACTAATCCTAAATATGGAAATATGTTAATTTCACATTTTCACCTCATCTAAAAAAAATCCCATTGTTTTATCCCATACGACTATGACATTTCACATTGTATGAAGATTCACTTTACAATTTTGTACTTTTTAAATCGTGTGGTTAAATTCTTAATGTATTTACAGTATAATTGATCTGTAGAAAATCACATTTCTGGATAATAAAATACAAAGACAAAAATATATGATCTTCTTTTGTTCAACTTTAACCATACAATATGCAGTGTATGAGTAAAAAAAAAAAAAAAAAAGAAAAATTGTTTATACGGAAAAGATGATTACATATACATATATTAAATAATTTATAATAATTCTAATACGTTGACTGTTGACAGATCACTCAAGCGCGTCCTCCGTAAAATAATAAACGTATTACGGAAGTTTCTGATTGAGATGATTTCAACATTGTTTACAGTTTTTTCTTTGATATTCTTTTATTCCCTTGTTCTCTTTTTTTGGTTTATCGGAGCTAATGTTACATTCTAAATATGATAAGCGCGATAAAATAAAATTAGTAAATGATTATTAATACAATCGATATCAGATAACGCGATAGTTACTTTCAGAAGAAAAAAAAAAAATTAAAAGAAAATAAAGGCGCTTTCTCAAAGTTGATGCATGCAAACTCCTCGTGTCTTTGGTATATCTCCTATTTCATCATATAATATTTTTTTTTATTGACGTTAATACGCATATATATATATATGTGTGTATATCTGATATGTACATGTACTGTATGTATGTATTATTCAATGGAATAAAGTTTCTTTTTTCTATATTTCTTAATGTCTTTCATTGAAAGATCAATGAGTAAAGAGTTTCAATGAATGCAGTGTTTATTACTTGTCATTAAATAGTTAATCCTAGAAGTTTTGCATTTTTGATTACGTTAAAATTATTTTGATTAGAAATAAAATTGTCTAAATTGTTTTTTAAATTGAATAAAATATATTTTTGTGTACTAATTCTGTCCGTTCACAAACCTTCCATATGCTTTTCAGATCATAAACAGGAAATATGAGAACAATCGTTTATACTATAAATCTTTCATACCTCAAAATAACTATTGTTCTTTAATATATCATGGATCAATTAAAAGGTCGAGACCCTAAAGCAATAATGTTTAATGAGAAAACAAAGGAAATATCTCTATTGTTCCAATGTCAATTATATATTTTTAATTACGAATATGATTTCATAATTTGTATACTTCTATTCTTAAAATTATGTATGCCATGCGAATGTTATAATTACGAGTACATATAAATGTGATCTCAGAGAAAACGTAGTGTGATTGGTGTGGGCTGAAAAGATTCTTTCTCTAAATCTAGTTTGACTTGTTTTTCTGGGTTGAGATTGACAATCCAGAATATCTTATCCCATTGTTAACCTAGAAGTTAATACCTCGGTTTTTAAAGTTGATTCTGTGATAATTAAAATAAATTTATTATGTATCATATATGCTAAAATACGTCAATGATTTTTTTCAAAAAAAAAAAAAAAAACAAAAAAACAATCCTATTTCTTAAATATAATTTATAATAATAATTTATTTATCCATCTCCGTAAACTTAGTTTTTTTATTATTAAACTTTTTTTATACTACAATAGGTTCTAAACGGGATTTCCTAAAATATAGTTTTAAGTTTAATCCTAATTGGTCAATAATTCACTAGAAATTTACTTATTGTTCACTTATTAGATATACTAGTTTATTACACAATATGTCTATTGTATTACCTCACTTATTTAACGTTAAATTTGATTAACAAGGATACCTGGTATAGAATCGTATCGGATTTAAGACTTCATCAAAAATAAACTACCAATATAAACCAGGTTGGAATTTATCTGCATAATCCATTGTTCTTTGTGAACCTTCTAACTACTATATTTAATAATATTTAAGTGTAATATAAACGAATAAACCGTTTTAGATTACGAATCAGAATAAAGATGGAATATGATAATCCTAAAACGTTATTTAGAAAGTTATCAGAAAAAAAAAACAACCAATCCTAATTGTTATAACGATAAACGAAAAGTTTAAATATCTAATATATAAAATGCGACAATTTTCTAAAAGTAGAATATTTGGCGGCCGTACTTTTGAAACCAATACGGTTAATTTAAGATCTTTAATGTGATCATGTTGCATATTATTACTAGATAAAGTAATGATTATCTAGATCAATATGTCATATGTAACATTGCTTCCTGATAATTACCCTATTCGGAATTGTCATTGTCGTCGATCTCGGTTTGAGTCGAATAGGCGGTAAATAAAGAAATTTATCGTAACGGTAATTATCGTTGTTTTTTTTAAACTCAAATTATAGCTTAAGAATGTACATAACGATAATCTTATATATTATAATTTTTACATTCGATACGTATATATATATTTTTATTAAAAATATTAAGTTATACTATATAATTAATAATATAAATAATATAAACATAATAATACTAAATATTTTATTAATAAACATATAATTTTTTTTAAAAAAAATAACTATTAAATCAATTTTAAATGAAGATACATTATACTGTATTAAAATTATTAAAACTATCTGGAAATTATCTCTGAATCTCATAATGATGAAGTTATTAAGGTTAATAATTGTAAAATTTAAATAAAGTCATTAATTTCTGATCTGAAAATTATCATGTGACGACGAGTGATCGACAAAACCTGGCACAGTTTTTTCTAAACCGATTCTTTCAATAGTCTACAAATTTTCTCAGAAGCATCCAATTAAATAACATTATAAACTGACGTATTATTATGTTTGGCTCATTATGCATTCGAACAAGATGAAACTTGAAGTTCTATAAAACGTGACATCTATAAAATGATATTCTAGTTCTACATGTGATTACAAAATTGTGTATCCTACCATTAATATTCTCGCGTCGGAAATTATTGTGAAAAATACAGAATTCAAAACACAATCCCTTTTTAAATACCTAAGCTTTCAAATTTCGTTTTTTTGCTATATAGTATACACTTTCAGATTTCCCATTTCAGCCCACTCAAACCAGATTGTTTCTAGTCTATCTGGATATACAGCATATGCGTCAATATGCAACGTTAGATTTAGTATCCTAACAATTTTTGATAGTGGGCCAGGTAGTTTGGCATTACCATCGATACAAATTGATTTCAAACAGTATGTCTTGGTAGGTTTAGATAAATTATTTGAACTAGATGATATTATAAAACTGTCAAATGATATGTCTTAGTAGGTCCCTAACCAATAGAAAATTGATGAGTTTCGGGTTGGGGACTGATGGGTTTGACGCATAATCATTATATCCTTAAAATTATTTAAGATATAGATTCGAATTTTTAGGGTATGAATTTAATTTACCAAGTGATTATTCCAATTAAATATAATTAATTCGTGATCCGCGTGAAATATCATAACAGATAATAAAAGTTTCCCAAAATTTAACATATATTTTATTAAGTAAATCTCGTTTGTACTTTTATAGAGAAAAAGATTCCGGTCATAACATTAAAAACAGTGCATATGATAAATTTAAATCATTGATACAAGCTTCATATTCTTCTATTAAAACTTTATAAAACTCATTTTCATAGCATATACTTACTGTATAAATGTCTCAACACCTCTTAATCGTGACACTTTTAATTTTCTTGTTGAACTGGGCTTTCCCGAAGATTGTATATATATATCATTTATTTGAATGGTGATAACGCTAAGTATTGGGATGATAGGTGATAAAATACATTAACGACACTGATCGATCCTTCACAGTATGAATTTGCTTATTCAAGCTTGATATTTGTACGGATTTTGAAGGCGATTTCTGCCTATTGTTATCATGAAATGTAATTGACAGCAAGTTTTTTTTTTTTTTTTTTATATAATTCCAAGAAATTTCTTTTATTTTTTGAATGATATTATAAATTTTGTTATTTATTTGTTTTACAATAATCACTTTTAGAATTCAAAAGATTTACTTATTTCTTAGAATTTAAAAGATTTACTTATTTCTTATTTAAGGAATTGACTCAAGCTAATAATTAAAACTATTTTAAAACAAACAAAATTTTTTCAAATTTATCTCTTATATAGCAAATTATCTTTATATATCTTTTATTAATAACTAAAATAACTTTAAAAACTATTAAGTTACAATTAAACTGGATGTTCTATAGAATAGGTGGGCAAACTCCGCTAGCTCCGCTGAATATATTAAAAAAATTAATGATTACTAATCATTAACGAAGCTTATTTCTTATATTGCCCACCTATTCTATAGAACATCCATTAAACTTTTTAAATTTATAAATTAGAATCAAATATAGTATAGGTGATCTTTTTGATAATATTTTTTGAAATACTATAACCATAGTTAGGGATTTTACTATATTTGCAATCGATAATCGCATCTTATTTAGTAATTATTACTAATCGGATTGTTCTACGTAGTTCAGGAACTTACCTAATCAAAATTAATAAAAAAAAAATTTATTTGAATTCTACAGATTAGTAGAATTAAATTAAAAAAAATTTTTATTAGTTTTGATTAAGTAGTTGTAGTATAATATTTTAGAAAATTTTATTAAAGAAGTTATAAATTAAAATTGTTTAAAAATTTTTTAATTACTTAATATAGCTAGAATTAAAGTATTTATAACCTATAATTTAGATTTGAATATTTTATTTTACTTATCTTTAAAATTATTAACAAATAATATTAAATATGAAGATTACAGTAATAAAAATTTAACCTAACTCAGAATCGAGTCGACGAAATAATTTTCAGTCGCCTTTGGCGATCGATGTTGTTTAGTTCGTTCTTGTTTTTTTGAGTCAGGTTTTATTTTTATTACCTCCAACCTGTTTCCAGTTTGAGAACTTGAGTGTGTAATAACAGTCCTAGAGTAGTTCCTTGCTTGTAACGGCAACTCTTAACAGTTTTGAGTACGTGAATATTCTGTTACAATCCAAGTGGTTCTTGTAGGCGTCACTGTCCTGGTTTTCTTCTTTTTCTGTCAACAGTCTTGCATTTAGGTAGTGGTAAAAACATAGAATTCATTCTATGTAGCGTGACTGAGAGGTCGAGCCTATATTAAGATTTGGATTAGTGAAACCGATGCTTTCGTCAGTATCAGCGTGTATCTAACTCTTTTTTAATTAAGCATACATTTTATATGTAGGAATGCAAGCGGACTTGTCTTAGACATGAGCCGTGCAAACTCATGATAAGTCTTATTTAGAAAAGAGGAAAAGAATGTACTGTGCATCAAGTCCTTTAGTGGGTCGGAATCAACACGCGCCTGAAATAATGGTACGCTATTCCGGATGTGGTCATTCTATATGGTAAACGTGGGAGAACATCGAAGCAACTTTTACTAGTTTGTAAGTCTTAGAAGAAAACCTTAAATTGTGAGTCAATGGGAAACTCAACTCACGGGCAAACGTCAAGGAGGTTTGGTTGTTTCAGTTTAGGAGCGTATTTGGATGATTTTGAGCTCTGGAAATATCAAGGTTGGGTTCTTACTTTATGGAGTTTTTTCTTTACCAATTGTTTTTACGAAAAAGTTAATTGGTGCTAGGATGAAATCGTAGCTCTGCAGATTTGGACGTTTTTCGTTTTCAAATCACAACTATGAAGAAAAGGAAGCAACACATGTTTATGAAAGTCCGTTGTACCTTCTAGCGGTGTTTGTAGTCATCGAGAGCAAAACTACTAGGTCGAGACTATAAGAAACTAACTTAACCAGTACGGAAGTGTCTCATCCGTTAATACACATGCTGGAACAAAACAGTGACTTACGGAGCAATAAGAGAGACTATAGCCTATCTTTCTTATGGACTTTCATCTGGAATCGATAGAAAGTTCAAGATGATGAAAATTATCCAGGTATGCGAGTGCCTTTGGTGGAAAGCCATAAATTTGTTTACCAATTGTTTTTAAAAAATCAATTGGCACCGATTATAGGTGAGATCAATTGGAGGAATATATAATGGATCTGTCAAGCATAGCTGATGTAGTCATCACTGTCCTGGTGCACTATCATGCATCTTAAATTGTTGGTCAATAGGTGCGGACCGAATTCATCTCATATGATTGTAATTCTTGGGTACAAGTTTTTCAGAGGTTTGAAAAGGTTCGTGAATCTAACCAACGGGCATATGACAATCGGTGTTTGATTCAAGATGGAAGTTATAGATTCTGTTGAAGATTGTCTAGCGGCGGAGTAAAACGAGTCTCCGAAAGCAAAATCTCGTGGGTTGGAACGAGGGTGATTCTCCGACTGTTACACATAAGTGTTCCATCCATAAATACATAAAACAGTAAAGAATTGACGTACGGAGCAATCGGAAAGACGATAGCCTTGGATCGACGAGATTCGACAATGTGATTGGAATTCACACCGAAAGGACATCCCTCTGATGTGGAGTAATGTGACTGAATAGGTTAATTGGATAAATTGGGTTTTGGTGTTGCGACCTTGTAAAATGTGGAAGCGCGAAAGCGGCCACTAGGCTTGCACGGCATTAGAAGTCTATCTGGGAGTGACGGTTTGTCGAATCCGGGCTAGACTAAGCCCTGGCTACATTCTAGTGTGGTTGATGTGATTGCCATTATCTGTCTAACCTTAACATGTGGTGCTACCTTTAGTGTTGGAGGAGCAACGGAGCGGTGTACACTACTCTTTAAATAAGCCATAAGTGTGCAATAAATCCTTCACTAAATAGTAGCTGGTGGTAGAGCTCATATTGGGTTCGAAGGTACAGGGAACACCACCGCAGATAATGACACATAGGAAATGTAGTCCGATGATAGATTTTTAACATTTTCGTAGGTGAAAATGTCTTGTTGGCGTGTATACGGATAAGCCAAATGCGTTCAGAATGTCTTAAGAAATTTAAGGCAGCAGTGAGTGTAAGTAGTGATTTGAACCGGTTTGGCTATAATCGGTTAACCGACCCGAATTGAATAAATTTCGGGTAACCGGTTGAGTAAATTCTTAATCGGTTGACCCGTACAACCGGTTGAGTATCGGTAATCGGTTGACAGGATGTAAATGAGAAGGAGCAAAGGGTCCGAGAACTTCCGAAAAGAAAAATGAATGAACATAAAAATTTGAGTAAAGGTCCGAGAACTTCCGAAGGTAAAGTGTGAAGTAATCTTAATCGGTTGCAATCGGTTGACATTAAATATTTCGGTTCGGTTACCCGACTAAGGAATTTTTTCTCGGTTCAAATCACTAAGTATAAGTTATCTTAAGCTAACTATGGGAAACCTTAGGATTTGTGTGTAAGATACTTGTGCGAGCTAGACCTTCAAAAACGGGGAAGGCTGGTGGGAAGACCTCTTAAACCAATCCCGTGCTTACCGGAAACGATATGCTGTTTGTGTACTTGAACAAACAAGGTGAATGTCACTGTTCTTGTATATGTTGCAGACATTTTTGGATAGTGTAACGACTGTAAGTTGGTCGGCAAGCATAATGCTTGCTTAAAAGACAGTCTATGTAATGGTATCAGGATAACTACAATATATCCGTGACATTGTAGAAAACCTGAAATAACCGAAAGGCCTGTGTGTTTTAACTGGATAACTTTGGTTTGAAATGACAGATCCTTGGCTTCGCCACCCAAGCAAGGTGTTACGCCCTATCGTTTGGTATTGCTTGAGGGCGTCCAAACCGGTTTACAAATTCCTATCCGTGACCCGTTGGGTCAATCATCTTTCCCAACCGGGTACCCGAAACTAAAACCGGCTACCCGACTAAAACGGGTCACCCGTCAGGTGACCCGAGTAACCGTGATAATCAACCAATCAAATTACATTTTTTAAAAAAGAATTTATCGTTTAATACTGTAAAGTGCAGAAGTGTATTTACATCAGCTAATCAGACGAAAGTTGGTTGACCCGTTTATTGACGGGTGACCTATTTATTGACGGGTGACCTGCTTATTGACGGGTGATCCGTTTATGATATTAAACCGGTTTGTCAAAAATATGACCCGGATAGTAATTTTTTCAGGTCGGGTTATCGGTTACGCGGTTATCCAGGTCAGAGTTTGGAACCCTAGGCGTATTGATGATCATAGTTATCTATTTTGCCCGGAATATATGACTATTCTCATTGGTGCGCTTGTGTAATATTAGATAGTTTGAAACGGATACTTTAAGAGTTCAGCAACAACATGCTAGGAAGTCTATACCTGCTGGGAGATGTAATACCAGTTGTGGTAACATAAAATCCTACCCTCTTACGTTAGGAAATATTGGTCAGGCCTGAGTAAATGATTGCTGTTTATCACCAGGAGTGCTTAGGTAGGTAGCTTGCATACATGGTTATAGTGTATAGAGTAAAGGAAGAACAGACAAAAGCTCTGATTCTGACAGAGTATAAACTAGCTGATGAAGCTTAAGAGTATGTTTGTAAGGCCAACAATGTCAAACAAATATTAAATATCACAACTATTACTTCTATCAATATTTAATATCTTATTACAACCAAGCTATTCAAAACTACAAAATCAATTTTCTAATATTTTGCATTGATTTGTAATATTTTGCTATATTTAATTACTTATAAAAATATAATTTTATACTATTTAGATTTTAATAATACATTAGACTCAATGATGTAACTCTCTCCATAGATCAATTTTACCAAAATTCGAACTAAAGAATAACCTATAGAAAACTTGTTAAATAGCTTATAAAATATAGTAAAATCTTCTAAGAAAAAAGATTCAGAACTCAAAAATATATATAAAAAATAGGAGTACAGAAGAAAAGTCTAAAGAAACTCAAAATATTAAAGAAGTTTGAACTTTAAAACAGATAACGAAATTTTTTTTTAGATTTTTGAGAATTCAAACAAACCCTAAGATGCAGATAATTTGACATAGTACAAATATATGTAAACTAAGGTAAACAAAACACATTATAGGAAAATCTATGTGTCACATGCTAAATATTAGAAACAATATATACAAAACCAAAACTGGATAGCTCACAAGTAATTAAGAAAAGTTACTAGGAATCACTGAAAAAAGACGAGATCACTTCAAAAAGAAGATTGAGTTAGAAAGTATGTGGAATAGAGCCAAAGCAACAAGATTAGTAAGGATAGTAACAAAAGAATATAGCAAAGAAATAATTTCTGAAGGAAGTAATACAGTAATGGGTCTTGAAGACTATATAGATAAAATAATTGCAGAAATTTTAGAAGTAGATAGTAATATAGTAACAGTAGTGAGAGAATGGAAGAAAGTAATAGAGAAAGCAGCAATGATAGAAGAAATTGATAGAGTTAAATTAGTACTAGGACAAGTAACTCAGAATACAATAGTAAGAAGAGATGATCTAATAGTGCCTAAGATTGAGAGTAAATCAGATATAGAAATGATAAATCAAACAAATCTCTTAAAGATAGCTGACAGTATAGAAGAAGAACAAGCCTTACTAGAAAGACAACTCCTAGTGATAGGAAAAAACAAAGAAGATAATAGCTTAATAGAAGATGTTAAAGAAATTCAAGAGAAAGAAAGTGTTAAATCAAATCCAAACCTATACTTGATACTACAGAAGAATCTGAAGAGGATATAATATCAGCAGAGTCAGACTCTTCTCTTAAAAAAAGTATCTGAGCACTAAGTAAAGATAGGTGTGAAGGAAAAAAGATTATAAAAGCAAAAGTAGTAGCTATAAAAGTATTTGGAAATAATACAAGTCATAGAGAAAAGTCTTTAAGATAGTCAATAGGTAGAAATGTTCATCTCAAAAAAATATCTGAAAAATTTGAGTAAGGCAATTTGTAGTATACCTTAATTTTTGACTATAAGAAAGGATATGAAGAAGCTAAGAAGAAATTAGAAAACAAGAAAGAAGAGTATGAGCAAGCTAAACTAATTCATGAAGAAAATTCAAAAGAAGAAAAGGCTGCTCAATCCTCAGATAGACAAGATATAAAGATTACTTCTACAGATATAAAAGAAAAAAGAGAAGAACAGGCAAAAGCAGAATTAGAAGAAGTTTTAATAAGAAGAAAAAAGAAGGTTATAATTATCTTAGAGCAACAAAAAGATACAAGTAATGAAAATATCAGAAGCCAATGAGCCTCTATCAACTCAAATGAAAACAGAGAAGAAAATATGATAACAGTTTGGGATTTACTAAACTAGACTAAAAGAACTTAAGTTTTTGAGTTAGTTCGGTTTATAAGAAGAGTAGAATATATAGAAATGATCAAAAATGCAAAAAATAGAATATGAGCAGAGGTTAAATTTAAAGTAGACACTTTTAATATAAAGAAAAAAAATGAAACTTGGTATCTGCCTTTTGCAAACCAAGTATTAGTAAGGGTAACAGCAGATACTAACAACTTTGAATTATTGCATACAAGAAACAGATTTAGCAAAAGACTCCTAGACCTACCAAAGAATACAAATGAAGTACTGCTCTGGAAACAAGTTAAGAAATCTAGAGCCAAGGTACTGCATATCTTCCAAAATGCCAATAGCAATAATATGAGCAGTGCAACAGTATATTTTGAAAATTAAGAAGATATGATAAATATCTCTAAATTCTTAATATACTACTACAACAATAAGCAAAAATAGGCAATTATACGAGACCAAGAAGGAGAACTACTAATAAACTAAAGACTTAAAGAATATGAAGAAAGTGAAGTAGTCACAAGAAAAAGTGAAAAAAGTTTAGAAAAAAGAAAAGAGATCAAACAAGAACAAAAAGGTGAATGCTCAAAATATATGCAAGAAAGAGTATAAAGAAGAGAGAGCTACTCACAAAAAGCCTTAATTAGTCTAGCTTTAAATGAATATAGAGAAAGTTGGAACAAGTATAGAAAAGCTCAGACCTCTTTAAGTAATAGTAAGGAAGAAAAGCTTAAAAAAGAAAAGAGAAGTAGTTCTCAAAAGAAATTAAGAAATAATGAAAGAGAAGAAGAAAATAGACAAAACTCGCATAAAAATTATAACAAATCTTTAGATCATATAGCTCAA